AGAGAGAGAGAGAGAGAGAGAGAGAGAGAGAGAGAGAGAGAGACAATGTGATCTGAAACTGAACTGAATCCACAAAGTATTTTTAAAAACCAACAAAACAACAACAACCAACGTAGCAAGCAATAATGAAAACAATAATAAAAAGAACAACGACAAAACAATGTCAAGTCATAAATTACAACAGCAACAACAACAACACTGCTAACTTCTGCGTGAATGAAGACCCCCTCCCTCGAAAACATCATCATCACGATCAACACTCTCCGTGACCACTCCCCCTTTACAACAACAACAACAAAAGTAATATAAAAACAAAAATGTAACAAAAACAAAAACAATAACAACAAAAATGTAAAAACCAACAAAGTAACGACAACAACACCAACAACCACACCCCCATCACACCCACTACCACCAACAACTACTCACTTACTCAGTGTAAACACTCTCCCCTTTATAACAACAACAACAACAATATCCACACAACAACAACAACAACAGCCACCACCACCAACAACAACAACAACAAAACAACAACAACAACAACAAAACCACCCCCACCTCCAACTACTCACTTTCTCTGTGTGAACACTCTCCCCTTTACAACAACAACAACAACAACAACAACAACAACAACAAACACCACCCCCACCCCCACCACCACCAGCAACAACAACAACACCAAAAACAACAACAACAGCAACCACAACAAAACCAACACCACCAACAACAACATCAACTACTCACTTTCTCTGCGTGAAAACTCTCCCCTTCACGGTGCACGTCCCCTGTGAGGAGTCAGACGTGATCGCCGTGCTCTGAACCCCGACCAACAGCACCAGACTCCTCAGCAGCAGGCTGACCAGTATCCATCTACCTCTGGACCCCATCTCGGACACAGCAGTGACGGGAACGACGATAGTGAAAGACACGAAAACGACGATGAAAAGTCCACAACGACGATGAAAAAGTCCACAACGACGATGAAAAGTTCACAACGACGATGAAAAGTCGACGACGACGATGAAAAGTCCAAAACGACGATGAAAAGTTCACGCCGACGATGGAAAGTCGACGACTACGCCGACGATGAAAAATCGACGACGACAACGATGATGATGATGAGGAATGGACGTCCACTAAATTAAAGCTCGCTAGTTAGCAGGAGCCAGTAGTTGCAGCATCAGATCCAACGTGTGAGAAAAACTGTGGCGTAGGGTAATCCGGGCACTGCATCAAAATATGTGGGGTTGGTATCAAGTTGTTTCTTTCTCGGTTCATCAAACTATATAATGTGAAATTATTGCTTCTTCCAGGTACATCAAACAATATGAGGATACGATGATACGAAGTCTTTTCCAGGTTATATCAAAACCAAAATGGCACAGCTAAAAGTCTGGACCAAAGTTAACCAAACAAATTTTCTTTTCATGTGTAAAAATCACAACTTAATAGGTCAATCACGTTTCAGTCCTGGAATGCACAAGTAATAGTCCGATTTTCAGAAAATATGTTCGTTCTTTTTTTTTTTAGAGAAGTCCTACGTCCCCTCTGTCAACAATCTGAAAATATGAGAGAAAAACCATAGACCTTTATACACCCTTGAAGCAGAAAAAACAAAAAAAAACCACCATGTAGTAGCTCTACTTAACACAAGAAAAACAAAAACAAAATAAATATAAACACAAAACCCCCCCCAGATAAAATAC